TTTAAAGTTAAAATTAACAAAGCAACATGCAAAAACTCAAAACCATTAACAATAAAGGAATATAACTAATTGCTTTCAATTCAGCCCATCGCTAAGGAATAGCATCAATTGTGCCTTTTTCATGATTCCACCCTAATCCTGTTTATCATCTTAAGAGTTAATTCCACAAAATCCAATCACTTTATAATGCATCCCACCAATTTCTTAGTTGTTTATAAATATATTTCTTAGTTGTTTATAAATATATTTCTTGTTTGTTCTTTCATTAAATTTCTTTTCCATATTCTATCACCCTAATTTATTAAAAGCATTATTGGGACGATTAGCGACATTGACCTCTTCCACACATATTGTAATATCCCAAATTTTTGGGAATAAATAAGCGAGTTAGGGATTAAATTGTGAGAAAATATTGTTTTGGGCTTAATAGCCAACATTCTGAAAGCTGAGGGACTTAAAAGTGGAAGAATTTTGGATAAGGATGAACTTCTTTTCTTTATCTTTTTCTTTCTTTCTTTTCTTCTTCCAGCCCGTTTGTTCTGCTCTTCTTCTTGTCTTCCCGCTGCAGCCACCCGAAGAGAAAAAAAAGGGGAACCCGACAGCCATGCTTGAGGAAACCGGTAGAGAGCTTGATTTTTCCCTTCTTTTCTTGTCCAAGAACCTGATTTGGAACCCAGAAATTCTCCCCCCTGCTGGAAAATCCCGGATCTGCTCTGTCTTTCCTCCCCTGTCCGCCGGCTGCTCTTGCTTGTGGGTGTGATTTTCGGTCTTTCTTGGTGAGAAGCAGCCATGAATTCATCTCTTTAGCTTTGAATTACCTTGGGTTTACCTTAATTGCTCTTGATTTCTCCAACTTTTGAGGTAGGCCGTGAGCTTCTTCTCCAAATTGCCGCCGGCCTCTTCTCCCCTTGCAGCTCCGGTTTCTACAGCTGGAGAATTATGGTATGTGACAGCCTTTTAAGGCTTAAATTATCCATTCAAAGTTGCTGCTTGTGATGTCCGAATTTGGCTAGGAAATGGGGAAATTCCGGTAGCAATTAAGTGAGATTTATGTGATTGAGTGTTAGTTGGTTGTTGTGATTTTTGGACAAAATCCCGTGAGATTAGCTAGTGTTTTGGCCAATGTGTGGAAGTGGAGTTACTGTTCACGTCGGGGTCACTGTTCAGCGGTTACTGTTCACACCCCGAGGGCCAACAATTAACGGGGATTTAAGTGATTAGTTTGTGATATAAGAACGAATTTGGAGATATTTGATCATGTGGAGATTTATGGAAATAGCATTGTGATTAGAAATGATCCTAATGAAGTATTCAGTGTGAATTTGTGATAGTGGTGTTAATTCTTGAAATATTTTGATTAGGTTCCCGATCGTTCTGCCAATTAGCACTGAAATTGAGTGCTCGGTTTTATGCGAGTGAGGTAAGTAATTTATGGTAATGCCCGTACTGTTTTAAAAGCATGTTTTGATTTGTTTTTGAAGTGGTGGTGGGACTAAACTCGTTTTACACGAGCATGATTGATTTGAAGTAAAATGTTTTATGCTTTTCATTAAATTGAGCATACCTACTTGAAATTTAAGTGACTGTCCTGATGATCTGAAAGTGATTGTGAATTGTGATTTTCCTGTTAACTTCTGCCTGTTTTGTCTCCGATTTGGTCATGTTATTCGTGACCCTACTAGTGGGGGAGGTTATAAACACTAGCACATGTCGACATGTTAGTGAGAGAGCTGGTTCGTTCAACCCAGCTAGTGGGGGTTATACACTAGCAAATCGTGGCCCTGCTAGTGGGGATTATACACTGGCCGTGACCTATAGAGGAGACGTCTATTTCGTGCCCGTACTGTATCTATTTTCGTGATT